CTTCTTGGGTCTTACTGGGTATTTTAGGAAATTTGTTACCAACTATTTAAAAATAGCGAAACCACTAAGTGTTCTTCTTCGTAACGGAGCAGAATTCATAATTTGGGATTGAACAAAAAGAGGCATTTAACAAATTGAAAGAACTTTTATCGACAAGTCCTGTTCTTCATATTTTCAAACGAGAATTAGAACATTAGAATTGCATACAGACTCAAGCAGTCATGGTTTCGGCGTTGTATTGCTACATAAGTCAGATTATGGACAGTTACACCCCATTTATTTCATGAGTAAAAAAACTAGCCTCCAACAAGGGAAGATATCTAGTTATGAGCTTGAAGTTTTGGCTATAGGTGGAAGCTCTAAAGAAATTCAGGAATTACCTTTAAGGATCTAAGGTCAGAATAATTACTGATTGTGATGCCTTCCAGAAGACTATGTTCAAGAAAGATTTAACTTCTAGAGTGGCGAGATGGGCGTTACTTCTAGAAGATTCGACTGTGAAATTGTTCACAGATCTGGGCAGCAAATGAAGCATGTAGATGCGTTGAGCAGAAACGAAGACATGATGGTTACCTATTCTCAGGGAGAAGTTACAGCCAAAATTGCAGCTGCGCAAAAAAGTGATGCGCGTCTTCAGTTGCTAAAATCCTTAGTCGAGCAAGGACTAAAGAAAGATTTCCTAGTAAAGAATGTTGTATTATACAAGTTCGACAGTGGTCGCGAGTTACTTGTGGTACCCGAAGCATCAAATCATACATAGTGTCCACAACATGGGGCACTTTGCAGAGTCTAAAACGGGAGATCTGCTGAAAGTGGACTTTTATATTCCTAATGTTAGAAAATGAATTGAACAAGTTGTACTTAGTGTGACAAAAAAAGAGGTAAGGGCGAAGGGTTGTTGAATCCCCATACCAAAAGATAGTATCCCTCTGAGCACTTTTCATATGGACTTTATAGGACATTACCTTCGACAAATAAGAACTACAAGCATATCTTGACCATGGTTGATGCATTTACAAAGTTCGTGTGGCTCTAACCACATCAGCTCTACATCAGTCTACATCAGCTCATGAGGCATTGCAGAAGCTGAAACTGCAACGCTACCAGCTGTACCACTACAGCAGCTGATCACATGAAACCTTGCACTGTTCCTGCTTAGGACTGTGCGGCTTTTCCGCACTTATATATATATTTTTTTTAAATTTATATTCAGGTGCTGTTTTGATATACCAGTGTTGCTGATCCGTGTTTTGGAGGGCGAAAACAGAGTCAGGATCGCCGAGCTGTGGTGTCAGTTATTACCACACAGCCACCAGAGGGCCTCACCTGTGCGCAGAGAGAGCGAGAGCGAGATAAAAGACAAGATGTTGATTTCCACGCGAAGGTGGTAACAAAAGAACTTAGTTATGATAGCGAGCGCGAGTAGGCGCCGAGTTGCTATTTAAATACTAAAAGTGATGCAGAACTGTATTTGTATCTAATATGCGCGAGAACGCTCTGCGGTACTGTTATTAAATTCAAATCTGTAGCTTTTCTTTTAATATTTCATTAAATGTTTTGTGGTTGGAAGTGTTATTTACTTAAGGATATCATCTTCATCTCCCCACCCACATATATATGTGTAAAAAGAATCATAGTAACAGGCCAAAAATTAAAGAAATTTTTTTAACTTTGATTTCTTTTTTTAAATTTTGATATGTTTAGATACAGTGTTTAACCTTTTAACCACCGTTTCAATTATTAATATTGTTGAGGAATTGCCTTGCTTTGATTCCAATTTTATTAACTTTAGATGCTTTAATATTCCATATACACTCTATACAAAAAAATCGACGCACTAAGAAGGAGTTGTCCGATGGAGAGAAACATTGGTAGCTATAGGAAGACTATGTACACAATAAAAAATGATTAAAATTTCAGAACAACTGAGTGCTTTATTTCAGAGTTATATATTTACAAAATAACGAGATCAATAAGGTGTTGACCCACCTCTAGCCTGGATGGAAGCTGCCATACGGCGTGGCATAGCTCCCGGATACTCCCAGCACTGATAAAGCTCCCGTATGGTCTCCTGCGGTATTTCTTGCCAAATGCTCCAGTTGTGGGGCTATGTCATCAACATTCCCTGGTAGATGTAGTCGCCTTCCCATCATAACCCAGTCATGTTCGATGGGAAAGAGATCTGGTGATCTGGCTGGCCAAGGAATTGTTTGACAGGCAGTAAGACAGTTCATAGCAACATGTGCCGTATGTGGTTTGGCATTATCTTGCTAGAATATAAGACCAGGGTACTGCAAAAAGAACGGTAGCAAAACTGGTCTCAGAATGTCGTAGACGTACCACTGTGCTGTAAGTGTGCCTCTAATGACGACCAGAGGGGGTCCTGATAACAAGCGAAATGGCACCCCATACCATAACTCATGGCTGAGGGCCTGTGTGGCGCGTAATAGCAGGATCGGCACGCTGCTCTGGGCGTCTCCAGACACGTCTTCGATGATCCTCATGACACGGTTGGAAGCGAGATTCGTAGCTTAAGACTTTACATCCCAGTCAGCATCATTCCAACCCGATCGAGCTAAGAACCACTGTAATCTGGCTCGACAGTGCACAGGCGTGAGTGGAAAATGGCGTAACGGTCGGTACGAGCGTAGATTTTGCTTTATCAGCCGTCTGTGAATGGTCATGGCGGACACTAGCGTGCGGGTCGTACGTCTGATGGTTGATAGTGATGAATTAGGCGCTGTGATAGCTGATCTGACAATCACTCTGTCCTCGCGATCTGTTGTGGCCCTAAGTCGACTGCTACCACCATGACGCTGAAATCTGCCATTGTCCACCCATTTCTGCCAGCATCTTCTAATCGCCGCATCTCTTCGACTCATGACGAGCGATTCTCCGATTTGCCCAACCTGCCTCTTTCAATCCAATAATAGTACAACCTCATTCAAGCTCTGACAGTTGCTCGTAATGAGCTTGAATCCTGCGGCGAGACATTTTTTCAGTCGTTGAAAGATATCCTAAATCGCAGTGCAACAGAAAGTTTTAACAACAGTTCAAGGAACAGCTCCTTATATGCATGTGCTGATGCGCAGCTCCGATGCGCTGGAGATCGCACTATTCATTCTTTGAACATGAAATTTTAATCATTTGCACATTTGGTCAAAGAATCTATGCTTGCAAAATTTCAAAGCAATCGGATGTTTCCTTCTTGGTGCGTCGAATTTTTTTTGTTTTGTTTTTGTTATAGCGTATATATATGTATATAATGCAACCCGCCGGAACAAAATGCATTTCAAAAGCCGCTCTGAGAGTCTTTTGGGTTAGACAAGTCTCTTTTAGATGAAAGCTCAGGTAGATTTTTCTTTCGTTTCTAAAAAGCAGGAAATCGAAAATACAAATTATCGTGAAAGCAATTCTTACATACCAATGAGCAAATATCGCGTGAAAAAACTGTAATCATTAGGTTTATTGAAGCAGGCATCTTGAAGAATTAGCAATGCCTTCACCGGAATTCGAATTCCGAACTTCCCGATGCTAGCCAGTAGTGTTTCCAGTCACACCACGAAAGCATGCGGTAAGTAGGGAGAAAATACCTTACAAAATGACAAGAACAAAGACTGTCATTGCAAGTGTTAGGTTTGTTTACTTCTTTTTAACCTACGCTGAAGATCATATCGAAATACACTGACTACCAATAAGTATTTGGACACCTGTGATAGAAAAGAAAAACTAACTTTATTCAAAATCAATAGTTAGTAGAGCCTCCACGAGAGGTAATTACAGCGTGGACCCTCCAGGGCATACTTTCCACAAGTCTTTGTATGACAGCTAGTGGTATATTCTTCCACTCGGCTTGGAGAAGACATAGAAGTTCCTTCACCGATTTTGCACGGGTAGTGCACCCCAGAATTCAGCAATGCAACTCGTCCCAGAGGTTCTCGATAGGGTTCAGGTCTGGACTCTCGGCAGGCCAGTCCATTCGATGAACTCCATTGGCATCATACCAAGCCTTGGTTAACGTCGAAACATGACAACTGGCATTGTCGTCCTGAAAGTAACAGATGTCCAACCCGTAAAACTGCCACAACGTAGGAAGCACATTGTCATCTAAAATAGTGCAGTAGGCATCGGAGTTGAGCTTACCATGAATGGGGACCAAGGGTCCCAGCCCATACCAGGAAAAACACCCCCAGACCATAATTCCACCTCCGCCGAACTTGACTGTTGGCACAATGCATTCTGGCAGGAGACGTTCTCCAGGTAGACGCCAGTCCCAGACCCTGCCATCCGAACGGTAGAGGAGGAACCTTGATTCGTCACTCCAAAGAAACCGTTTCCACTGATCTACGGTCCAATTTCGATGTGCTTTGCACCACATTAACCGAGCAGCGTGATTGGACTTTGTGATCAAAAGCTTATGGGCAGCAGCACGACCACGAAAACCAAGCAGATGTGTTTCCTTACGGATGGTATTCATTGAAACAATACTCCCGGATGCATGTTGAAACTCCTCGCGGATGAGGGCCATCGGTTGGGTGCGGTTCTTTCGAATTTCTCTGGACAGCACTCGTCGGTCTCTATCTCCTAGTTTCGTTGGTCTGCCGACTCGGGGCACATTCCGACAATCACCGCTCATTTTCCACTTCTTAATCACATAGGCTACTGTCGATTTTGGGTACTTCAGATCACTAGATATGTCCTTTAAGGATCGGCCACATTTGTGATACCTGATAATTATACCTTTCTCGAAATCAGAGATGTCCGAACTGCGAGGTATCTTGCATGCGACTAAAGCCGATGCTGTTTCCTACACGATATGTACCGGCGGAGTCCGTGACGTACCTTAGGACCGCAGATATCGTCATTTGCATAGGTGTCCAAATACTTATTGGTAGTCAGTGTACTAACAGTAGAGAAAAATAGTAATTGCACAGAAACATGCTTCACAGGGAGAGTTTAAAAAATTCTGTAATTGCGTGGTTTGAAATTGTTCTGCTTACCTGCTTCCACTCTAGAGGCTCGTATGCTAATTGACCTTGCGTTACAGGTGGTCGTAATACAGTTAGGAACTGAAAGCATAATAAAACAGAATTATTGGTCTTTTATTTAACTCTGTTTCACACGCATGAATTTGTATATTATTTAAAAGAAATGATGAGATTCTGAATTTATCAGAAATATCATTTTACGCCATTTCAAGTGTATGCAATTCTTCAAATTTTTAATTTGTTCAGTTAAATTTATACTCTAAACTCATTTTATCTTCAATGTTTATTAATTTTTGAAGTTTAAGTAATTCTCATCCTTGATAAGTACAAAAATTCATGTGTAGAAAATAGTGATTATTCTACCGTAATCCCATTTCATTAGACACATCACTAAATCAATGTCGAGGTTACTTTTTATACTTTTAAAACCACTGCAAAATTTTTTTATCATAACGAATGTACTCGCTAAAATAAGGATTTCTAAATATTATCGCAAAGCCCAGCATAACAGTGGGAACCTAACAAAATAAACTGAAGAAAGATTGTTTTTGAATCATTTGTCAACATACACTGGTTTTCAAAAATTACAGGAAAATCACAAAATAGCGATAACTCAGACACAATAACACGCCGAATAAATACTAATTCAGAAGTCCTATGAAAATTTTGTAAATATAACGCTGATTTTTGTTGTTTGACTTCTGAATTAGTAGCGATAACTCGTTCAAAATAAGCCAATCCGTATAAAATTTGAATATATTGTCAAACAAGAATTACAGGAAAATTACAAAATAGCGATAACTCGTTCAAAATAAGCCAATCCGTATAAAATGTGAATATATTGTCAAATAAGAATTACAGGAAAATCACAAAATTGTGATAATTCGTTCAAAATAAGCCAATCCGTATAAAATTTGAATATATTGTTAAATACGAATTGCTGAGTAAAACTGCAGTATGCAAATTATTGGAGCTGAAATCGAAATACGTCACCTACAAGGAGCATAAAACTGCATGTTTCAGAGCAAGCCTGCAGATTTCTCTGTGAAGAGAAATCTGGGATAGTCAATTTGTTACAATGATCTCCAGGCATCATTTGCCCGAAAAACTGATATGGAGAGTTATTGGGAGACTAGAGACAGGACAGACTCAGACAGGAGTGGTCAGATGATGATACGATGGCCAGTCAGTGCCTTGACAGAGGTCTCAAGGCACTGACTGGTCTTTTCAAATCATCTGTTTTATTTTCCGTGCCCTGGGGTGTTCTGCAATGCCGTCGTATGTGGCCTACAGTACCACATTTCCAACACATTGGAGCAACTTTGTTCTCACTCCTACTTCGTATCAAAGCATTGACTTGTCTGGATCCAAGAAGAACAGAAACCCAGAGGATCCGCGTTCATACCGTTTCGATCAACCTACTAGCAGCAATGAGCAAATTACTAGAACGACTGACAATTACAAGAGTCAAGCATCACCTCTATGGAAATAACAAAATCAGCAAGTATCAGTTCGGATTTAAACCTCATAGATCCACTACTCACGCAATTGACTCTGCACTCTCAGATACCTCAAAGAATACACAACGCCAAATGTATTCTGCACTCCTATGCCTGGACCTCCAAAATGCTTTCGCGACTCTCTCTGGTGGTCCAGCCATAAAACAGGCCCTCAGAGAGATTGACTGTCCCAAAAATCTTTACCAATTAATAACTTATCTTACCTCGAGAATAGGAAAAGCATCGTCATTTACAACAACTCAACCATCTACAGAAATCAATCTAGAAGATTCCCACAAGGATCATAAATGAGTGCGGACCTCTGGAACGTCACCTTTAATCACATAATTGACCACACTTGGCCGGAGCACACCAAAATTGTGGCCTTTGCCGATGATGTTGCTTTTATCGTCATGGGCTCCACCCGCGACAATCTAAAAGAAAATTGAAACGTTACGCTAGACATCTTCAACAAACTGTGCCACAGGATTAAACTGCAAATCTCTCACTCTAAAAGCCAAGCCCTGATTATTCACAAGCTTGGACGCTCCATCACCAGATACCCAATTCTGAAAATAGGCAACAACAAAATCAAATGTGTTAAGTCCATTAAATACCTTGGCTTAATTATCGACCATAAGTTCAACTGGATCGAACACCTTCAACAGAAGAAACTTACAACCCCAAAATTGCTCAATCCTTAAAGACTATGAGAGGTTATTCCTGGGCTTCAACAGCAAAACCACGAAAATATTACTCAAAACTGTAATCAACAAAATCATCATCTACGCAGCAGCAATATGGGAATTTCCAATGACAGAGAGCAAAAGAAGATTATTAAATTCAGTTCAGCGACCATTCCTACTCAACATAACAAGAGCATATGCCACAACTTCAACAAACGCCCTGCAAACACTCGCAGGAGTTATTTCCCTACCAATAGAAACTCAAGTAGAAGCAATCTCGACAATAGTATTACAACTAAGAAAACCAGCAAAATTCGCAGATACCATTTTCCACCCTGATGAATATGAAGAAAACCCCCCAAAATACCAGACAGATCCAGCTTTCAAACACCATAACCTCCACTGCAACTTCAACCAACCTCCTCCTAACACCAATATAACAGCTTTCACAGATGGATCCAAAAATTGACAATAAAGTGGGCTGCGCAGCAACAATCTGCATCAACACCAGCACACCTCAATCAGCACCAGCACAAGTTCACTCGGAATGGCAGGGGCACCTGAGATCAAATAACGGTGTCTACCAGGCCGAATTAACCGCTATTCGCCTCGCCATCAACCACCTGATACGAGACCCAACAGACACCATTCATATCGTGACAAACAGTCAGTCATCTATACAAGTTATTCAAAGCTTCTACAAGCTCACACAACACACCAACTCACCAATAGCACAGGACATCCAGAAGACCATAAGGACAAGTAATAAGCAGTTCGTTCTCTCATGGATCAGAGGCCATAACAATTGCGAAGGTAATGAGAGGGCGGACTTCCTTGCAAAACAGGCAGCACTTGATCAAGTCGGTGACGGTATAAACATCCCCTGGCCACAATCGGCATTAAAATCAAAGCTCAAACAACTTGCAACTGAGACATGGCAGCAAGACTGGGAAAATGGTACAACAGGACGACGTACCTACAGCTTTATACCGAAGATAGACGATACACGCACAGTATCCAACTATTTCTTGACACAATATATCTCAGGTCATGGCCCTTTCCCTACATATTTCTTGGAAAGAAATTTTACTTCTACTGATTTGTGCGTATGTGGGGAAAGAGGCGACCCTGACCATTATATCTTTCATTGCCCACTAACCGCCAACCTACACGTCAAATACCCTACTCTGGGAATGGAATTTAAAATATTCCTAATCAACCATCAACACACCTACAAAAACTTTAAACTAATCATAGACAAGCTACAACAACAAGGTAGAGAACTATGCCACTCATAAATTAAAAAACGGACGTAATGATGAATACCTAGCAATCGAAGTGCCACCACACAGCTGTCCAAAAAGAATCATGACTGTTTGCTCACCTCCACTGAAGAACGACATCTAATCTGCAGCTTCACCATTTAACTTTCCATGGAAACAATCTAAAGGTACTCATATGATTCAAATATGATATTCAACAGGGAGTGCTCCTATCCTAAGTCATCACTATTTATGTGAGTGATGATTATCAACTACCAGTGCCTTCAAACTGCCAAAGCGCAGTATCAGTACTCTACACTCTGATGCTCAGATATACGAACTATGAACTTTGAACTTTACACTTATTATCTGATGCTCATTAACACAAGTGCTCTCCATGCTACTGCTGCGCACAATTCTGTGCACATTGAACTCTATGCACAATGAACTCTGTGCAAAGTAAACTCTGTGAAATCTGTGCACAATCACACAACGATACCACTAACACAAAAATAACATAGCATTATAACTCATATCACATCTCCATCTTCCCAAATGCTAAGGTATTCCTCCAAGCACACCAACAAATGTCAAACTGCAACACCTAATTAATTGTAACATGTTATCTGCATATTGATTCCTGTATACCAATATATCTGTACCTCGATTACCTGTACCCCAGTTTATCTGTATAATTGTTCTTCCTATGTAAATAACTTGTTACTTTAATGTAATTTATTATGACAATTGCGTAATGTAATGACCTGAAATGTAATCTTTTGTCTTAATAAATGCCAGAAAAGGTTAGTGCAGTGGGGCAGTACCATTTTTGTCTATGACGATGTCGTGGGGGCCCCTGCACTTTTTCCTGTCCTGTCCTGGTTACATAGTCTAGACGAACAGTGACTTGATCCCTTGGCTCCTGGACATGAGCAGCTTTGACTGGGTGGCGGTCTCTACGAGTTGCTTGCTGGGCTGCCTCGAATTTCATGGCGTACACTAGAGCGCTTTCTAAATCTTTTACATCCGCCATTCGTAGAGCTTTCTGTATTTCAGTATCACGGATGCCGTCGATAAAGTATTGCAAGGACAGAATTTCCCTTGTTTCTGTCGGGCATTGCGAAAAGTCGAGATGGGACAGCCTTTCAACATCCGTGGCGAGCTCCTGAAGTGTTTCGGTAAGCTTCTGTTGACGAGATTTTAATTGGAGCCTGCTGTAGTCTTTTAAACACTTCTCCCCAAAGCGCAGCTCCAAGGCGCCGGACAGAGCTTCGAAATCTAACCTTTTGTTATCGGGAAGAGTCTGAAAGGATATCCGCTGCGTCTGCTCTTAAAGAAGCGGCGAGATGACAGGCCTTAGCTTGGGAATCCCATCCATTCGCATCCGCCACGATAGAAAATTGGTCTTATACACCTGCCAGGAGGTCTTCCCATCATATGCCGATAGCTTCAGAGAGGGACGAGCAGGCATGGGTAGAAATTTTAAACCATCCGAAGTGCTCCCTGCCGTCGCTACGAATTTCTTTAAATCATCAACTTCTCTGGAAACTGTAGAACCCTGTCATCAATCTGTTGTTGGACGGCAGAAACTCTTCCTTCTATCCGTTGCTCCACAGCGGAAACTCTTTCTTCTATTTGATCGTTCACTGAAGAAACTTTATAATTGATTTGTTGTCCTACGGCCGAAACTCTCTGTTCTATTTGTTGTTTGACAAAAGAAACGTTTTCTTCAATTTGCCCAACTTTGTTTTCAACCGCGTCTATTCTGCCTTCCATAGCCTCAAATTTATTTCCTATTATGCAGGTTATTTCCCTTTTCATCTCGTTCCTGTCCTGCTTCAATCTTTTCTTGACCTGCTTCAATTTTTTTCTGACCAGATTTCATCTCCCCATTAATTTCTTATCTGAAAGATGTTTGGCCAGTTTCCATCTTTTCTTTGAACGCAGGCAAAAGCACTGATGAGCTGCCTCAGTTGTTTTTCCATCGCTCTTGTTATTTGGCATTCAAACCCCACTCCTGACACCAAAAATTGTTGTGTGCGTACGGGTTCGTTACGAAATGAATGCACAAGTCCCGATGAAAAATGAAGAAAATTTATTATTATCACAAAAAATGATTAAATGTTCACAATAATCGTGCAGTATCACAATATCTCACAGTAGTATCTTCTAACTACTCAAACGTTCAAGAGAACTTAATTCAAAACAGCTAAAGAAAGCTAATCCGCGAATTCGCGACAATCAACAAGAGCAGTTTTCTAAACCAACCCTTAAAACAACAACAAACTAAGTGACTAACTACGAATTGAGAGGTTTTAAAACAACAACAAACTAAGTAACTAGCTACGAATTGAGAGGTTTTCCTCCTTTTATAAGATTTTAAATCGCGCTCGAGAATTTTCTGGAATTTTCTCGAAAGCAAAAAAGAGATATTTATTTAATGTTAAAATGCACGCGCTCTTGTATTTTCAAGTTTCCGTCTTAGCTTTCTTTTAATATTCGTCACGCGATGCATTGCACGGGAAATAAAACAATTTAATTTATAATTCAATTAACATTAGCTATTTAAATACCAAATCCGTAACAATATACAAGTTACGATCGTAGTGGTATTCAACACTTTAAACATTCCACATCTCTCGATTGCCACATGCAAGAAACAAAACTTTAAAAAAAATCTGGAAGTTTCTGATTTTACATTACACCTAGAGGGTAACTACTTCTTTGTACGAAGTAAAAAGGAAGTATTGTAATCGCGAAAAGTTTAAGGCAGCATATTTCAACGAAAATATCCATTTTGACCGCTATCGAATGAAATTTAACGATGTTTTTGCGTGATATCTGTACGTAAGGACAGAATAAAAGACTCTTTTCCTCCAAAAAAATTATAAAACTGCTTTAAAATGAATTCTGAAGAGAATTTTTCGTGGCGTCTGTACGAACGTATGTACGTACGTACGTATCTCGCATAACTCAAAAACGAGTAGCCTCAGAACGTTGAAATTTTGTATATAGGATAGCTATAGCATATAAATGTACACCTCGTATTTTGGTTGCAATCGGCCGCACCAAACGTGTATAAATATATTTATATATATATATATATATCCACTCTGTTACCCGGCTCAGTGATCTCAGTTTCTATACTCTTATATGTTTGTAAATTGTACATTTTTTGCTTTAAAAATGATTGAATTATGTTGTTCTTATCTTCCGGTTAAGGTTTTTATGCCTTTAGTAAATCTGTATGCAATATTTTTAGAATTATCAACAATTTTCAAGTTGTTTAAGTGCCGCTAAGCCTAATAATGTTTTTATTGGCTGCCATTGCTTGTTTACATTTGAAACAGCAGAATAGTGGATTTGTTGCCAATCTAGAGAAACTTAGCTTTGCAACAACAAAGATAACGCCTTCATTTATTATTGCGAATTAAATCATACTTAATCCTTTCTGTAATTTTTTCTAGGAAATAAGTGTTTAAGATTTACTTCGTAAATTTTAATATAGATATTTTGACGTTTTATGTAGTTTTGCCTAATCGAGAAGATAATTAATTGAATAAGAAATACTGAATCGTCTGTGAAAACCTGTTTCTTTTTTGTTTGGTTTGCTTAATTTCTTTTATACATCATTCTAGATATATTACAGTATTTGAATAGAACATGTGGCAACGTTTAGATAATTCTTCAAATGATATAAATTTTGTGCATTCTGAGTTATAATATGAACGAAATATAATACTGTTAAGTGAAGCTAGCGCCAGAGTGTCGCTATGGTAAACAAATAGAGTGAATTTTAAAGAATGCATTTATTCTATTGTGGTTTATGCGCTGTCGGCAAAGTAGATTTAATTCAATCCAATAAGTTTAGATGAAATGCAAGAAAAATGTGTATAATTTAATATTTCGTCCAAGGAAGTCATGTGGTGTACACATCAGATTTTTTTATAATTAAATTAAATGCCAAATTAGTGCTTCCAGATGCCCATGTTCAAAATTGGATAGCTATAGGTACCGTTGTTTTATCACAATGCGAGAAACATACATACTGTTGCATGCGTACGGGTTCATTATAGATTGGATGCACAAGTCCAATAAAAAATTAGTAAAATTTTATTCTTATCAAAAGAAA